TTATGAAAAATATCTCAGGACCTCATGGCATCCTAGTAGCCTTAGTGGGTATGTGGGAGGAGGGAATAAAGATTTTTAATAAGAAATGGTAATTTAGTTTCTCATTAGAAGACAGAATAATTGAGATACTATTTTTACAATTACGGGGAACACCTCAGCAACAAAAGTGTGGAAGCTTGAAATAACCCTTTGTGGGTACTGGAAAACATGCATTTTCCAAAGAAATTTGCCATATTGAATTCCCAGTCAAAGGAATATCCTCATAACAGAGGGGTTAGACTTCACAAATTTAAGGCCAGAAAATGGCAGTTGTGATCTTCAGCAGCTCTTAGGTCAAACTCTTCAGTTTGCATTATAAAATTGTTAGTGATAATGCACATATGTAATAACACTTTGAAAATATGAAGCTCTGATTCCAACATTAGTTATACTCATAACAGCCCAGTAGTTATTATATCCATTGTAATGATGGTGAAATTAAGGCAGAGAGATTAAACAACTTAAACAAGGTCGTGTTGGTCCCGATCCTCACAGTTATTTAGATACCGAACACCCTTTTAAATCCGTGGGAATTGGACACCTACATACCTTTTAGGTTCTGCATGATAGTCACTAACTTAGGATTCGAACATTGGAGTTTCTGGCTCTCACTCCCAGATTTACTCCTCTGCAAAATATTGTCTCTTTTTCTATACTGGATCACTTTGAAATAAATTGCTTTCTTTAGAACATGACTTATTTGATTTACAGAGAAGGCAGCACTGTTGCTCAGAGTGACTAAGGCTTGTTCTTGAATGAATGGATCATCTGTGGACTCAAGCAAATGGATAAATTTCTGTAGATGATGGGCCTCCAGGTTACTGGATGATCAGTGTCTGTCAAAGTTTAAAAGTTTTAAAAAATTATTTCAAATCAACTCTGAAAAACTTCACTGAGCCAAAGCTCTTACAGAGCTATGTTACAACCAGGTACTTTTAGATAGCATGTTGTAAGCCACATAATCCCAGGACTCACTGATACACCTATGATATTATGGCAGAGCCACTTCAAGACCAGTTAAGGCGTGGTTGTATTTTGCATTTAAGGTAGGATTTCAGTATTTTTAAAAGAATGCATCTGCCCCAAATTTTCAGCATGTAACCTGAGGAAAGCCTAAATTTTTAAGTAAATCCATTACATAGTTTCTGATTTCTACACAGTTAAAAAAATCAAGTTAATAATCTGAGTTGCATGACTCTGAGCGCCCATAGTTTCAAAACTACAAAGTGTAGGAAGTAAAAAAAAATTGTGATAATGTAGGTTATGTAATTATGTTGCTAATTCACAAAGAAATACTTCTATTAAGATTATTTATCCTAATTGGATCCTTATTCACTGCAGTTAACCAGTGGAGATTTTTTTTTAAAGTCTGCTACTTCCATTTCTGACATAGAATGTGGCAAGTTATTTGAGCAGTTTAGGAGAAAAGAAGAAAATTTCCTTTTGACTTATATCTCCAGTAAGGTTCCTCCCAGAATTGGGAGCGAACATGGGTGAATGAAGAATAAGCTAGCCAGGTGGCATCTGAGCTGAAATGAAGATCTTTAGTAAGGCAACAGCTTCTGTGTTAAGGTTACTATTCTTCATGAAGAGTACACTCAGTCAACTGAAGAGCACTGCTCCTATGTCATCTTAAACACAAGTGTATCATAAAGTACCTGGGCCTCATGAAAGCAAAAGATCATTATCAGCTAGTTCAGGAGTGAAGCTCTTGAACTGGCTAAACAGTCTTATGAAGACCAGGATTCGTGAAAAAATAAAAGGTACTCTAATAAATACTCTAATAAATACTAAGATTTTGTGAAAGTGACCAGTTCACTCAGAAGTGAACCCCATTATTCAAGAAAGGATCCATTGCTGTGTTGGAGATTCTCTTGATTAGCTTTTTTTTTCTCATTACTGGGTCCTTGTGCCCAAATGGCTAGCCACTGAATGTGACGGACCTCTGTGTACGGACCTGCAATGGCAAACAGTGTTTGACTTCAGAGAGACCAGGATTTCACTCATGGTTCTTTTGACATTTTTGTGATTCCTGTATGAGTATGTGGAGTTTATCTGGAGTGGCTTCCTCCATTCTTTCCTGAGGATAGCACTCAACAATTGCTCATCTGCCAAGGGTTTGGGTTGTTTTTTTGGGTGGGGGCTGTTTGGTGTTTTGGTGGGAAAACCTCAAGCCTGTTGTCAACTCCTATTATTCAGATGAGAGTACTAGCAGGGCTATGGTATTGTCAGAAAGCTGGTGGCACTTAGCTTTAACAGTGACAAAATTCCAGTTGACCTCAGTAGGTCCAGTATTTTACCCAGAGTTTCTAACTTGATTGACCAGTTGGTGCTAATGAGTCATTTACTCAGGGTAGGTCTACATTTAAACTGCTACAGAAATATAGTTGCAGCATTGCAATAGCACTCCAGTGCAGACACAACCTATGTTGACAGGAGCGATTCTCCCTTCCCTATAGCTAATCCACCTCCCTGAGGCCATGTCTACACTACAGAACAAGTCGAAGCTGCCGCAGTTGATCTTCCGGGGTTCTAATTAGCGGATCTAGTAAAGACACGCTAATTTGAACTGAAATGGCTCTCCTGTCTATGCTGGTAGTCCCGCTCCTATGAGGAGAAAAGGAAGTTGAAGGGAGAGTGTGCTCCCAATGACTTCCCTCAGTGTGGATATCTCCAAAATTTGATTTAAGATACTTTGGGTATGTCTACACTACTTCGAATAGTTAGTTCAAAATAAGTTATTTTGAAATAATTCATCTACACACAAAATACATTTCGAAATAGCGTGTCCACACTGAATGGACGCTGAATCGCATTTAAGGCTGGCCAAAACCAGGTCCGGCAGGGCATCAGGTCAGGAGTTACTTTGTGTGGCTGCAGCCTGAGGCTATCTGAGGCCTGTGCTTAAAGGGACATCCCCTGGACTGCCGGTTCTCAGCTTTCCCTGCTTGCTTGCCTATCTTGATGAGGGACAGCAAAGCATTTTGTCTTTGCATGCTCTGGTTGCCCTCACTCGGGGCACCACATCACTCTGCAGCATAGAGCCGGAGCTGCCCCTGGGCACTCTGGTGCGTCTCGTGGACAGGAGCGGCCTGAGGCCAGCTGCAGTAGCTGGCACCCTAGGTTGGGAGGCGCAATCGGCGCCCCTGCTTGAATGGCCGTCAATGACCGTGACATCATCATCGGATGCCCGGGCCAGCGGCGCCCTAGGCAGCTGTCTAGCTCGCCTAGGCTCATGGACCACCCCTGCTCGTGGACACGTTGTTGCGAGCCTGGCTTCACTTTCTGCAGGCTGCCATCCGGGAGGTCCATCAGGGGGCTGTCAGTATCCAGGAGGCCCTGTGGGAGAACTTCCACCCTGAGGAGCACTAAGAGCCTCCCTGGTCTGCCCCACTGGGGGCTTGTGCCTCATTCCTCCCTCACGTCCTTCCACTTACCCCTCTCTAACCCCCCTTCCTGATGTAAAATAAAATACA